TTTTCTATAAAACCAGATGGTAAATAGTTTAGGCTTTCTGGTCATTTCAGTCCTTGTCACAAATAAACAACTTTTCTGGTTTAGGTAAAGGCAGCTATGGACAATACATAAACACCTGAGTATAGGTGTGTTTCAATAAAACTTTATCTATAGACACTGAAATTTAACATTGTTTTCTTGAATCATTAATATTATTGTTTTACTTTCTTTAACCATTTTTTTAAAATATATTTTTAGTGGTAGTTGGACACAAAACCTTTATTTTATTTATTTCTTTATGTGGTGCTGAGAATCGAACTCAGGATCTCACAGTGCAAGGTGAACACTTTACTGCTGAGCCACAACCCCAGCCCCAATTTCTTCAACCATTTTAAAATGCAAAAACTATTCTCAACTTGTAGGCTTTACAAAAATAGCCATTAGGCCAGATTTAGCACATTGGCCTTATGTGTATGATGACTCCTGGTCCCTTGACAATGCTACTTCTTCAGGGTTCAACCTTCACTCAATCATGGTCTAAAGGAAAATTCTACAACGATGATTGTGTTTGCAAAGTTTTCCATATAACACATTGAAAGCTTTAGGGATTATCAGTATATTCATAATTTTCCTTTGATTCTTCCACTTTATTAGCTGGTCCATCCATTGAAAAATATTTTAAGATTTTACAGGGTCTTTTAAAATATTAACATATAGAAGTTAGATCAAGAAACCAGAATAAAGAAGCCCAAGTTTTGTTTCCAGTTTGGGAGTTCAGTTCTTTGACTGGATAAATAATTCACATATTCTTTGCCTGGAAAGTCAGAATTGCCAGGTGTTGTTACTAAACAGTTGTATTAAGGGTTAAAGGACAGGGAGGGGGAAATTATGCTTGTGTCTTCCAGAGTTGTCACTTTTCAGGAAAAAAAAAGTATGATTTTTTTTTAATGACATAACATACAACTGAAAAGATAAGTGTTTCTAGAGAGAAATATAATGGGGGATTTTTTTCCCCAAAAACATTTTGATAGAGAAGAAAATCTAAACTCAGGGATGAGATCAAGCAAACTATATAGCATAAAATACACGAATGTAAAACCTCATGATTTTCCTGTGTCTGCTATTACCAGGAGAGGTTTAGTTCAGGGGTCTGTAAAAAATGTTTTCTTCTTTAAATATAATGGTCAGAGCCAAGACATCATCAGTTCCAGACTCAGTCAGTTCCAGTTGAAAGTGTGAATGTTCAGCAAGAGGATATTTTTGAAAGGAGACAAAATCTGCTGTGCCAGATACCTGAAATGTTATTAGGGTATTCAGTGGAAAATTTCATTTCCACATTATAAATAACTGTAGGATATTTTAAGGGATCCAAGACTAGTAACTTCCAAGAGCTGCTTATATTAGTTCCACTGAAATATTTAATGGAGGGAGGATGCAGAGGAAGCCTATAAAATTGAATTACCGGATATGATTAATTAAAATAAATAATCTCACTATTGATTAAATCATCCTTAAAACCTCTAACCATTTGAGGCCTGCATATTTTCCTACCCACCAAGTAAAACAAAGAAAGGATTAAATAGTGATGGAGAAAGATTGGAAAAGTCCCAAGATGATTTCTTAGATTCAAATGGCCCTAGAATTTCTTATTCTAAAAAGCCCCTCTGAGAGCTCATGTTTGAAATCTTAACTCTTTCCAGTGCCTGCAAATTTACGGGGAGTTCCCTATTCTGTGAACAAGTCTCAGAGAAGGTAGAATGTCACCTACTAAGGAATTTCTATCTTTGGTCACAGAAATAATTCATTTCCTGTAACTCCTCCCTTCCTTCGCAGTCCCCACACATTTAAAAACGAAACAAGTCAAACGCCTCTGTTAGTGGCACAACTTGCCCCAAATAAAACTGCCCTACTAAAGGCAGGAGTGGAGTGGGGTGGGGTTGAAGGAGAAAAGGAAAAAAAAAAAGCCACACGTATGAGTTTTGTCATCATAAGTGTGTGTGTGTGTGTGTGTGTGTGTGTGTGTGTGGATGCGCAAGTTCACATGTGAGTGGGTGTGTAAGGCTTGCGGAGAGTAAAAACTTTTGTACAAAAAGCTCCTATATTTTTTGAGGGGAAGCCTGGCTTCTCCTGTGTTGGCCGCCTGTGCCTGGGGAGACTTAAGAATGCACTACGCGCGCGCTGCGGTACCCAAGGTTAGAGCTCTCCCCTGTGACCGAAAAGATAATTAAAGTCGCACGCGCAGGACACAGTTGAGTTCTTCGCTGCGTTTCCAGTTGGTCAGGATAAGAGGGTTCTCACACCCTCGTGGCGCGCGGGGCACGGAGGCCACTAGGATCGAGGAGTAGTTTGGGGAGGGTGTGTCACAGAGGTTGGCACAGAATTGTTTCTCCGTGTACAGGATGGTGGCGGTGGCAGGCGGTCGTGGAGAGAGGGAGGGGGAGAGGCGCGGCGAGGAGGCTCGTGTTTGTGGTGGGATCTGGGGAAAAGCCAGGAACTTAAGAGAAGAGTGGGAAAGAGAACGAAGGACGAGGAAGGCGTGAAGTTGTGAATGGAGAAAGGGAAGGTAAAATAAAGACCAAACAGAAAGGACAGAGTAGTGTCCCGCATCTCCATCCTTACCCGGGTGAGAGGGCACGCCTAGTTACCGCCCACGGTGTCTGGAAGCCCCTCAATCCCCCGAGCATGTCTTTGGCTGTGCAATCTGGGTCTCCAAGTAGCGCGACCACAAGTTCATCTTCTGCTTGAAATGGGCCCCGAGGTTCGCGACCGGCACCGAGAATCCTCTTCCGCGTCCCGTAAGCCTTCGGAGCCCATACTGGCCCCTGCCCGAGCGCCAACCCCCGGCACAGACTCATCCATTGGAAGTGGTGTTTTTAAGTGAACCGAGGGTCGCAGCAGGTCCCTTCAGGGTGAGGGAAGTTTTTGCACTGAGCAATAAAAACACCAAATAATAGGTATGTGAAGACCTTTAAATAAGATGGGAGGAGATAAGTAATGACTCAACCATCATTCCAATTTTTCATTTATTTTATAAAATAACTTATTACTGTCATATACCTTATTAGGAAGCATTGAAACTAGAACAAATGACTGTTCTTTTTGCATACACGTTGTCAGGTGTTGGGAGGTTTAAGATAACTTAATAAACTGGAAATGTAAGAGTACACAACACAGAAGGTGAAACAGCCTCGTGTCCGCTTCTTGGGGTGCAATTGCCTCCAGCGGATTTCTCGGCTTTTGCGGGCGCCGCACATTGTTTTATTTGTTTTGAAGACTCAGAGTTTGAGGCTGGTCGGAGACACCCACGTGCTTCTGACTCTCATCAGCGTAATGATCGCCTTAGCCAAAGTCGTGTCTATATAAACCACAAAAACCTAATCATTAGAAATCCCAGCCTCCAAAAACCACATTTTAGGTAAAAATCTGCCGCTTTTTTTCCGCGCTCCTTCATCCTCTCGACCACAACCTTTTGGGGGATCCAAAGTCGCTTTTTAAACCCACATTGGGAAATAAATACATAAATAAATATCCATTGAAGCATTTTTTTATTTAAAAAAATTTTCCCCTGGGAGCGGTGAGGAAGAAAGTTAAGACACTAGATTTAGTCTGAGACGCAGGATAGATTTAATAAAAGATTGAAATTCATGGAAAACTGCTAGGGTTTTCCCCCAGCAAAGGCTTCTGCAACTTAATTATCAAGCTGACAGTTTTCCCAGTTTTAAAAAAATACTCATCCTTGTTCTCTAGGAATGACAAGAATGAATATATAAGATAAAAGAAGTGTTCGGGTCTCCACTTTAGTTTCTAAAAACTATTTTGACAAGCTCCCCAGCCTCTATTTTTTTTTTTTAATGTCACCTAAAACAAAAAATACCCAAATCCAGCAAAATCTGTCTTTCCCTACCCGGAGCTGCTCCGGCAGAGGTGGGGGTGGGGTAGGGGAGGGTGAAGAGCGCTGAGAAGTCAGCACAGACACTCAAGTATTTTCCTTCCTCCTCTCCTGAAGTTACAACAAAAAATAACGACAGTCAGATCAGCCGGCTGCTCTCTGGCATCTCAGCTTCAACCTCGTCGGACCAAGAAGGGGTTCCTCGTCCTGGGGTTGGGGGGAGCAAAAAGACGCCCAAGCGAGATCCCCCTAGACTGGGGCCGCCTCTTTCGGCTTCGGCAGCTGAACTCAGCGTGCCGGGGGCTCCTTCTCGCGGCCGGCGGGCGGCGGCAGCGGCTACGATTCGCAGGCTCGAGATCCGTTGCCCCGAGATCCGCTGCCCACGACTTACCCCCTAGCACCTTGAAGCGCGAGGGACCAAGAAGCTTTGCAAATAGCAGAAGGGAGTGGATGCAAGGAGGTGGCAGTGAGAGGGCGCGAAGAGAAGAAAAAGGAAGGAGCCGAGCTGGCAGCCGCCGCTGGAGGAATCTGAGCGTGCAGCCGGCGCGGGGGGAGAGGCAGCCGCCGCGGAGGAGGCGGCGGCGGCGGCGGCGCGGGCGGGCGGCGGCGGCGCGGACGCCTGTAGCTGAGTTGCAGCGCGCGGCGCGGCGGTGGCGGGCAGCGCGGGGCAATGCGGACCCCGGGGCTGGTCTGCTGAATCCACTCCGCTCCACCGCCGGATTCGAACTGGGAGGGGGCGCCAGCGCACCCAGGACGCGGTGCCCCAAGGGACCCCATTGCAAGTTGCAAACTCAAGTCCCCCGCCTCCCCGGGCCAAACACACCCCCGCGCCCGTTCACAGCTGCCACCCCGGGTGATCCAAAGGCTCCGGCAGAGATCTGCGCCTCCTGGTTCTCCCTAACCGCCAACCCGACAGCTCCGCATCGCCGCCGGGGGCCCCCATCAGACTCTGCCCCGCAGTTGGCTTCGTCGAACTTGATTTCTCACCTTCTCAGCCCCATCACCTCCATCCTTTCCCCTCGTCTCGCCTCCACCCCCTCAATTTCCTCCTCCTCGCCCCCCATTTCCACCCTCCTCCCCCTCCCCCGGCCACTTCGCTAACTTGTGGCTGTTGTGATGCGTATTCCCGTAGATCCGAGCACCAGCCGGCGCTTCAGCCCCCCCTCCAGCAGCCTGCAGCCCGGCAAGATGAGCGACGTGAGCCCGGTGGTGGCTGCGCAACAGCAGCAACAGCAGCAGCAGCAGCAGCAGCAACAGCAGCAACAGCAGCAGCAGCAGCAGCAGGAGGCGGCGGCGGCGGCGGCAGCGGCGGCGGCAGCAGCGGCAGCGGCAGCTGTGCCCAGATTGCGGCCGCCGCACGACAACCGCACCATGGTGGAGATAATCGCCGACCACCCGGCCGAACTCGTCCGCACCGACAGCCCCAACTTCCTGTGCTCGGTGCTGCCCTCGCACTGGCGCTGCAACAAGACCCTGCCTGTGGCCTTCAAGGTAAGAGGCGACTGCTGCCCCCCGCCCCTGGTCAGGCCGCGCCGAACCTGCCAGCGGCCGTCTCCAAGCCCACTGGGGCCGCCCGGAGGTCCTCCAAGACCTCCTGCCCCGGCGGTTCCGACAGGAGGGACCTTGACTGGCCTTCTTCCCCTGGATGCCCCGGTGGGCTCTGGGCAGTCGTCCCGCAAACCCCCTCTTTCCCACCTGTGCCCACTGCCACTTCGACCTCAGCCCCACGTACCCCCTTCCAGGTACCCACCCTTCACATCTCCCGGCCCCTCTTCTAACCCACTCGCTTGCGCCATCTCCCCTCCCCCCGGCGCCCCAAGGTGCCCACTCTTTGCAGCGAAGCCCCTCTCGCTCCTCCCCGCCCCCTTTCCAGGAGGCGAGGGTCCCCGGCACACTGCCTGAGGACTCCCACGTCCTCCTCCCGGCCAGCCCCGCACCGCGGGTGCCCGTGCCGCCTCTCTCCGGGATTCCGTGCGGTCCTTCCCTCTTCCCTCCCAGCCAGATGCCTATCCGGCTTCCCTCTCCCTGACCAGCGGGAGCTCCGTGGCCCCGGCCCCTCCCGGGCTCGGGGGCTGGCGTTCGCTGGGTGCCGACCGGGGCGCGTGGGCAGCGTGGCGGGGGCTTGGGAGGGTCCCAGGCCAGCCTGGGGACGGAGGGCGGGGTAGGGGGGACGGGACAGGGGGCGTCTGCGCTGTTCGCTGACCCGCGCCAGTTCCAGTTACCCGGAGGAAGGCGGGGCCGCCAGGGTCTTCGCGTACCCCGAGGCGGGGCAGCTCTGGGGTCCCGAGCGCGGAACCTGGAGTGCGGGGAGGCGCGGGCCGCGGGAAGGGGCCGGCGCTCGAGCCGCCTATTGCAGCGGGGACCGAACTTCCCGCCTCGCGCCGCCTGAGAGGGATGAGGGAAACCTGTGGAACAACCTCGGTTCGCCAGACCTGAAAAGGGAGGTGAAAATGTGCAGGTTTACTTGACTATTATTCTTAAAGGCCTTAAGTCCCCTCGGTTCCTCAGGCCGGTGCCAGGTCGCGGGTGGCTCCCGCCCGTGGCCTGGGCTCGGAGGTGGGAGTCCGCGGCTTCCGAGAGGCCTCTTCCGCCCGGCGGGCCCGTTAGTTTGCGGGTGGGCGGCCGCAGCGGGAGTAGCAGCCGCGGTCGCAGGTTGAGGGTGTGGGGTCCCCAGCCTCCCTCAGGGCCGAGTGCCAAGGCGGCTCCGCCACGCGGCTGGGTTTCTCGGGACAGCCCTAGCCGTGGGGGAGACACGGAACCCCCCCGGGAGCAGCACGCCCCGGGCGGACCGACGAGCGGTTCCCCGCCGTCCGCACTCGCGGGGCTAGAGACCCGGGTGGAGGGGGCGGTGAGCCAGCCTCGAGGTGAGCACTCCTCCAACTCAGTAGGGGGCCTGGGTCCCCCAGGTTCTGGGAACTGTGGGGAGCAGGATCAGCAAGGCCTGGGGGGAAAGAAAAGAGGGGGGAAAAGGGAGACATCCTGTCAGTCCCTCCAGGGTGGACCCTGGGGCCAAACTCCCACGGGCCCTTTGGCAGTTCCCAGTTGTGGGTCACCCCCACCCCACGCACCGATTCTGAGTCCGTGTGTTGGCGGGGTGGAAAGAAAGAGGAGTCCGGGTCAATTAGAGCCGGTTATCTCGCTGGGTCTCCTATCAGAACAGGAATCAGAATGAATTGTTATGGAAAAGGGGATGTTGTATTCTAGGGCAGGTTTCATTTTGCAGTTGGCTCAAGAAATGGTCTTTTAAAATGATTTAAAAGTGACATTCCTCCTTTTATCAAGCACCCATTCTGTAGGTAGGTTAATATTTTCTTCCTTGAAATATGAAAAAGGTCAGAATATAAGTGAATTGTAGAAAGTGAAATTTCCACTTGAGAGGTGTATTTCATAATGTTCATCGCATGAGGGCCCAGAATGTTCTAATTAGCCTTATGTGAGGGTGGAAATTTGTTAACATCAGTCTCTCCTAGCGCCTCCAAACCAGACAGAAAACCTGAATGAAAACAGCAAAAAATACAAATAAGTAGATATTTAGTAGGTATAATGTCACAGATGAGGCTATGTGAACATATAAGGCTAGGTTCTTAGATGATATCATTTACATGTTTGATGTAACGTTTTGCTACCCGTTTAAGGTATAACTGTCTTGAACTGTTTTTACGATTTATGATGCTGAATTGATCTTGAGCATGAGTATTCTCTATAGAAAGGATGTTTTCACATAAAGATAAAATTCTATGTGGTTTGAGCTATTCTCAGATATTTTGGCTGTCGGCTAGGCTTTCTCACTTCAATCCTTTAAAAACTATTTTGAAAATAAATTTCTCTATTAATCATACTTACTAATTACACAGAACATATTCTTATTATTTTAACTAGTTAACAGACCATAGATACCACTATTAACTATTATTATTATTATTAACTATTTTAAATTGAATATTGCAATTTATATTAATTGAATAATGAATCGTGTTAACTTAAACCCTGATTCAGTGATTTACCATCCCCATATTTGTGTTTAATGGAATTAAAAAAAGGAGTGACAGTTGAGATTTACTTAGAAGTTGTATCTCTGCTAAAAAAATGTATATAGATATTTGAACATTCAGATTTTGACAGCAGTTTTTATCCTTTTCATTCAAATGATGTAAAAACATTCCTATTTAAAAAATATCCTTCTTTTGGATAAAAGCCTGAAAGCAATAGACTTTCTACACTCTTGCAACATAATCAAATACACGTGTAATGAAAAAATAATATGAAGTCTCCTTTTTAAAAGTGATGACAGCAAATTGGTTATCATATTCACAGATCCGTACAGAATAAATTACAGTGTTGTTAGGTAGATAGCAGATAGGTAAATGCTTTTTAAAATTTTTAAAATGTTTTATAGTTATAGGTGAACACAGTGTCTCTTTTTTAAGTTTTATTGCTTTTTTTAATGTGGCGCTGAGGATCGAACCCAATGCTTCACACATGCTAGGCAAGCGCTCTGCCTCTGAGCCACAACCCCAGCCAGGGATAAATGCTTTTAAAAATACAGAGAACTGAATTGTTGAGAAGTCTGGTATTAAAATCAATACAGTATTTACTGAGTTCTTATTTTATCACTGAGCTTGGAAATATAGACAATCAGATGAATTCAGTATGCTGTTTTCATATAATAATTTAAAATAGTGCTTCAGCTTGATATTGACAGCGTATTACATTAAGTAGGGAATGTATTAGTATTGTTCATATGATTTTGTTTTAGGACTATATTAAAATAATTCATTATTCCTCAACATATAAAAATACAAAAGCAACTTTTATACTTTATATACAGTTGTTTATCAGCATGATATTTTTAACAAAGTTCTGCAGTTTTGAAATACTCAGTCCCCCCAGGTGTCAAGGAAATGGAAATATTTTTAACATTTCTTTCAGGTGTATCTCACTTTAAGCTTAAAATAGTTAAGGCATGCTATTAGAAGATTCAGGGCCCTTTCTGTCTCAGATAATTCTAGTGACAAAGAAGCAATTTGCAAATTCAGCTCATTAGTTGATGGTCAGGTAGAAATAGTGGAGAGTCAACTCTGCAGTCCAGTAGCACTTTTTTTAGTTAGGGGTCTGTCAGCGTTTCCACTGTGAAGCTTTGTGTTCAGGGTTCATAACTAAGTTTCTTTAAATAGCTTCAAGCTGAAACAGTATGCAGAAATTTTTAGGTCCAGATGTATATTTTAAAACTAAAAGTAGTGCAAGCCTATAGCACTGTTTTCAGTTAAGAGAACACTGGACTATATATGTTTACCAGTGTCATATGTTTTTCTGGCAAAGTTAAAGAAAGAAAACATAATTTTAGCTATACGATCTACTACTTGTAGTTAATTTTCTATCTTTAATAATACTTTTCAGTATTTATAAAAAGAAAGTTTCAAAATGACAGCAGCTTCTCTTTGAAAATCATTTTTCGACATCCTTAGCCATTTTCCTCTCTTCAAAAGCAAGTATGCAGTTTATAAATATGTGACACTAGTGAATCGCATTTTTCCTATGTATTTAATGATCAGATTTTGTGTTTATATCTTTTAAAATCTAAGTATACCTAAAGAGGAAATAGGTTGTTAAACCTGTTAAACCCTTATTAAACAACATAAATTGTCATACAAAATTATGTAAATCATAGCAGATTTCAGGTTATATGAAGATAGACACATTTTTTTGTTATATCTTTAAATGCAATAAAACTTATTTAAAGTTAAATATTTTAGGATTGAACATATAAAACTTATTGGTAAGTTAGCTGGAATAAATACTTTTAGGTGGAAATATTTTTTAAAATTTTAGAAACTTTCTGTTTGAGAAAAAGTAGGGTACATGTGTCTCATTTTTTCCCCTTTGGCCTTGCCATTTGTGTCCTTTCAAAATTCCAGAATATTCATTATTAGGTGATTTAAACCATCTTAATACATGACATATAAATTGCTGGCTTAAATTGAAACAATTTCCATCAAAATTTTCTTCGAATTTCAAAAAATGTTTTGAAATGGTATATTATATTCATTTTTTTTCTTTAGAATTTGTAAATTCTGGGTTAAGTTCTAAAAGTTAGTAGTAGTTGTTGAAACTTTTTGATAATTTACTTAAAATTTTTGCTTTCTTTAATTATTGGCTCAACCTCTCTTTTTATTATAAAGAGAGATTTGGTCAGATTCTGTCTTGAAAAATAATCATATTTTAATTATACTGCAAATTGTTTTGTAAGAGTAATTGATTAGCTAAGATTATACTTCTATCCATGAAAATTTCATGAGTAATTTTAATATCCAATATTAAGATCACAGAAATAATTTTAAGGGTCTAAGTTAATTCTCTATTACTCCTCTTTTAGTGTGATTCACAGTTTTAGTCATGAGTTTCAGACAAAATTTCAATCCATTGCTAGAATTAAATATCCTTTTATTTTATTTTGTACATGCTATATACATGTGATTTAAATGCTGGTTATATTGAAGTATGTTAAATAAAAGAACTCCTTCATCAATTCAGAAATGTCAGTGCATAAAATTTCTTTCCCATGAGGTTTATTTAATTTGTAGATTTTATATTTTAAAAATACCTAGAAATGTAATGGATAAAGGTTTCATCATGAATTATTTGTGTAGCAGTACTTTTATCTTGGGTAATATGGATAAAAATTTTAACTCATGCTTACGCCTAGCTAGTTAAAGAGCCATTTTTTACTGCTCTTAACTCCTTAAAATATTTTTCCATTGCTTGGGTTTGTTATACATGAAATGTGTAAAAATTTCTTCCTTCTTTTGGTTTTCTTTCAAATAAACACAATTGAGAATTTCCCAGGGAAACTTTTTAGCTTCAGAGATCTACTTCAAACAAACAAACAAACAAAATGTCAAACTTGTAATTACCCTTCTGATTGATATAAAGTCAAATACAGTGCTACACACTCTCCACACCAACACACACACTTTTTTCCTCCTCAGAAAATCATTGGGCAATCTGATTTGGTAGAGTGAATAGCAGAAAACACAATATATTTAGCCATTAAACCAGAGTTCAGCCATAACATGGAAGGTTGTCACTGCATTGTGTTAGTTTTTTTTTTTTTTTTAAGGCCAAGTTCTGAGCCTCATAGAATACTTACACAACTCGTGAACTCGTGATTATTTGTTTTGTTAAATGTGACATGTAAAACATACCATTATTTAATATGGTAATTATTATGCTGCTTAAGCAAAGTAAAATGGATTTATGTATTTCACTCTTAGCCTCTTTTTTCATATTTTCCCATATTGAATCAATTTTATTTTTCTTCTAACTAAAAAAATTCATTATGTTAAAAATATGCAGTAAAATAATAATGTCCCATAGCTCTTGAAAACCATCATATTGGGGCAAATTTCTTTTATTATTTCCTGTAGTTTAGCCTTAGTTGAGTGAAACCCACCAGTAGTCATCCTTTTATCCTCAACAACACCAAAGAACATCCCAGGACATGAAGTGAAGAATCACATATTCAGTTGAACTCTTTAAGGATGCTTCTAAATAAAAGCCTGTTTAGCCATCAGCAGGGTTGGAGCAGAACACTATGTTATCCTCCTCATCTTACAAAAAGCAGATCATTGTAACAATTCTCTGTTTATATAGTATGATACACATATATTTGACAGACTTTAAAAAAATTATTTCCAAATTATATTGAAAAATGGTGGCTCCTGAGGATGAAGTTACTTATGTGGGGAAATAGTAGATATGTAGCAAAAATAGGGAAAAATTGGAGACTCTTAAATTTAGTGCGCTCATTCTCTTCTGAACAGTAGAGCTTTTCTCTTATCTTTATAATATTTACTTTGACAGAGAGAGCCACACAGCAGGTGTTAAAACAAAATATCGAAGGTTCAGATGAATACTGGCAAACATCAATTATTTGAGTATTTTCAAATGTGCACATTTTTGTCATTGTGAATTTGAAAGATACATGGCCTCCCTCAGGAGTACAGTTTTAACTATATTCAGTAGTCTCTTGAAGTACTAGATCAAGCTGCAGGGAGGAAGTCTAGTTCTCAAAAGATTTGCTCTTGACCTTGAAGACTTCTCAGATTGAGAATAACCTTATACTACAAGTAAAGGGTCATTACCATGATCTCCTCTCCTCTGGGACAGAAAAAGTCAGAAAACTGGTCTGAAGCAAGGGCACATTATTGCTGGTGAGGAATGATGATGACTCACCCTTTAACTGGTTCTCAGAGTTCTATCTGGTAGCCCCACAGACTTCTGGCTAAGGAAAGTGGTTCTCTTTATGGAGCTCTTTCATTTATTTATTTAAAAAAAATGTTTATTAAACACTATGTGCCAGACACTGTTTTGGGAGCTAGGCATATAACTGCAAATAAGACATGAAATGAAGGCCCTTCCCTCATGTAGTTTTCAAACTAATATAATTGGGACTTGTGAGTCTCTCAGCTTTGGGTTGGTGTGTCAAAAGGAGTAGGTTGATCATACATATATACTTATACACACACACACACACACACACACACACACACATCCACCCAGAAACACACATTAAAATGAAGATTACTTGAGTATAGTGGGCTGTTGGGAAAGTGGGCCCTATAGTTTCAGGAAGGTTTATGGTTTTGGATTGATTGAAAAACAAGGTGGTAAATAGAAGGAATAGAACTTAGGAATAACCTAAGAGAAAAGTAAGGGTGATGAAAATAATGACAAGGTTTTGTTTGTTTTCCTTGCTGGAGGAAAAGATGTAGGAGAGGGGTGAGACTCATGGATGGGGAAAATTTATCCCTAAAATATAGATATGGTGTCTATTTTACTATATTATAAGAAATTTGCTTTATTGAAAATATGTACCAGCATATTTGGAACATTATATTAAATGCTTAGGTTCATCTTATGGAAATATTAAAAAAGAAGAGAGTAGCACTATATGTAGAAAAAGATAAGTGGGATATTTGCCAGACAGGCAAGCACCCTAGAGTGACACTAGAGTAACATTGTCAGAGAGTACTGACAATAGACTCCTGTAGCTGGAGACCAGTGACAATGTACTCCTGTAGCTGGGTTACCAAGAGGGCATCTGGATGCTAAGTGAAGAGGAGATGGAAATAACCTGAATAGAGGATCCTAGAAGTTGGTTGACAGAAAGTATTATTGGGGGGCAGGATCTTGGTAGTGGATTATGAATAGTGAGTTTTGTACACTGCTAGTATTCTATTACCACGCCCCATGTTAATCACAGGTACACATGTAAGTTGGCTAACCAGGATAAACTCCGTTCCCTAGAGGTAGAGCAGCGAAAATGTCTGTTAGTTTCAAAGACTGATTATTCTGAATATTTACTCAACTGAGTTAATCTGCTTCAGCCTAACAGTTGAAGATTAAGGAGGCAAATGTGTCATTCCAAGATGGTAGATGGAATAAAACAGATTAGAAGTATGGCTGTGGGTATATTTTTTGTTTTTGCTGTTCATTTGTCATTGATTATTTTCAGCTTAGTATATATATTCTGTACCTAGACTTTTAAGTATTTCACTGGGTCCCACTACAAAGTAGGCATTTATCGCAAGCTAAATATGTAGCCCCATGTAAGGAGATGAAATGTGGACTCCACTATATCCAGGGCTCCATATAGTCAGGAAATCAAATGTTACGCCTTAAGGTTTCTTCTGCAGAGCTGATCACACTTCCTACTTTTTAGCCAGAGATTTGGATGAGAACACCTCATGGCTCTCCAAGCTGTAGACGAGATGCCTTAATGTGTGTGATGCAATCTACAGATGGGGCATCAACCTTTCTTCTGAGGCATAATTCCTGTGGACAGCCTAACATGGGGATTTAATAAAAATGTACATATATTCTGTGAAGAATCCAAAAACAAATGAGGGAAATTTATGCCTGCCTTTGAAATGGGTGGACCCTGAAATATTGGTCTGTTTGAAGTGGCATCATAACCCATATACAGATGCTTCATTCCTTTCTGCCATTACTGGACCAGAGCACTAAGTCTTGATAAGACACATCACTTACAATGAGAATTTATTCTCATTTTTTTAAGCCTTTCTGATGTGCCATTATTGCTGCTGTGTTTCCTGTTTTATGTAGGTGGTAGCCCTTGGAGAGGTACCAGATGGGACTGTGGTTACTGTCATGGCGGGTAACGATGAAAATTATTCTGCTGAGCTCCGAAATGCCTCTGCTGTAATGAAAAACCAAGTAGCAAGGTTCAACGATCTGAGATTTGTGGGCCGGAGTGGACGAGGTAGGTCTCTGATTTTTAATACTGATAATGGAATAAGCACATTAGGATCCTCTGATGAAATGTGGACTGTCTGTATACAAATCTAGTGTGCCTACAAATCAACACCTTCTTTTACTGAATAGAATTACAGAAAATTTTATTTAAATGCATCCAGAAGCAGTTGAGTGTTTTTCTGAGTACTCAGGCCTTTTTCATTTGTTTTATGATACTGAAAATTCAAACAATGTTTCCAGAAGAACTACCTCCTAATTTCACTGACTGTGAGCACATAAGATAGAGAAAAGACCAATTGGAGGATCAAATTCTGAATTATGAGTCACATAATTGAGTAAATTGGCAAAGGGGAAAGTAAAATGAATACATTGAATCAATTTCTTGATACTAATCAATTTTGCTCTAAGTTGAAGCAAGGACAGCTAACATAATGCTCTTCACTATTGCAGGCTGTCTCTATGTGATTTAATTTGTTCTCATAATATATAAGAACCTGTTAAAATTATGATATTTTATAGAAAGCTGTTCATTTGAATAAGTGACTAATGGTATTACTATGTTAGGATGACGATATAAAGTTGCCTGAACAAATGAATGATAAATTTTAATTTTAAGTATCTCAAGAAGATACTAAGTAGATCTATTTAGGAATAAGGTTAAATCGAATTGAAAGCCTTATGAATTCACTGCAGCCCAGGTTTGAATTAGGAAATGAGAAGCACCAATTTTTAAACCATGTCTAATAATTGTTCTGTAGTTTGGATCAGATGTCAAATTATTACCATTGTAAAAACTTGATAAGGGAAATTCAAGCAAAGCTGTTTCCGATGAGTAGTTTTAGTTTACTTTCTAGGAACAGGGCCAAGAAGTTGTACTTTTTAACTTAAGAAAGAAAAAATGATGCATGCTAATGAGAATCTGTCACTGAAAGGTTATTTGAAATACAGTGAGGCTCAGAGCCTCTGTTAGAACCCAAACTAGAGGGTTTATCACTGCATTATGTTTAGTTTACTTTGATTAAAAGAAAAGAAGACATATGCTCTATCATTATGGACTGATGGGGCGTGTGTGTGTGTGTGTGTGTGTGTGTGTGTGTGTGTGTGTATGTAATAATGCTTTTATTTCAGTTTATCATGCAGGACTATAGTACAATTAAAGTTTCTCTTTTATCCTAGTAAAAATTAAGAAAAATATGAACATGATAATATACCTGTATGTTCTAGATTGAATCTTTCTTCTTATGTAAAATTACCTTAATTTTAACTAGAGTAATGAATTTTAGTATTTGAAGGATTGGGTGTTATATTTAATTTTACAGATTCAATCTAGTGTTTTTATTGTCTTTTTGTATATAGATGCTACATAACTTTTTCTGATCAATTTGAGTAGAAACTATGGCAAAGTGATAGTGTACTTTGTAAACCCTCAACGTATTTATTTAAGAAACTTCAAAGAGAAACAAAGGGTGTGCACTGTTTTACTATATTGGCTTTCTGAGTTTTGGCTGGTTTCCCAAATAGCAATTTTTATATTTAAAAAAAAAAAGACAGACTTAACTGCTTGCAGACTTTTCACGCATGGAAGATGAAGAAAGCTTCTTTTGATGAAGTGTAATTATGTCCAAACAGAGCTGACCCCCTCCCCCTATATTTCTTATGATCTTAACTGAAGAAAGTAGGATTTTTCCTTTGAAGCAGCCGGGACTTGGTGGAGGATCTGAAATGCTACAGTCTGCTGCCAGAGGCAGGATGGAGAAATTGGTCCAGACTTGTCTTCAAGATTTAGATGGGGGTTGGGGGGAGCAGTGGAGAGAGACAGAAAAATTGATTTATCACTAATAATAGATTTTTATATCTCTTTATCAACACTGTATGCAAGGAGACAGTAATATCAAGTTGGAATGGAGAGAGAAAAAAACAGAGAGACACTGATAAGATGTAACACTCTAAAAAAAAGTGGGTCAGTTTTTCAGTGTCAGGAAACCCTTTAACTTGCCTTTGTACCCTTTGTACCTGACCTGCTTTTATAACAGACTCCAGCTTCCTCTTTGATTTTTCACACTTCTCCATTTCTCTTAAGTTATTGTGTCTTATCAACATGCTGCTACTATTGTATTTTCTTTCCCGGCTTTACAAGTTTTCTGTTTTCAATAGTGTTAAAAAAATAAAAAACCCACCAAATTCCCCAGATATTACACTTATTTCCCCTTTTCACTCATAGAAATGTAAACTCTCAGAAACTGACAAATGGTCTTGGATTTATTAATGAGTTATGTCACTAGACTTTATGGGTTGTCTTATTACAACTTTTAAAAATGCTTGAAATAGGAGTAGATTATCAATGAAACTTGCATTGAATTAGAAATACCTTATGATTTTTAATTGTAAATTTAGTTTACTAGCTTTTTTTAAAATTGATTTTATGTTTTTAAATACATGACAGCGGAATGCATTACAATTCTTATTACATCTATAGAGTACAGTTTTTCATATCTTTGTATATAAAGTATGTTCACACCAATTTATGTCTTTATACATGTACTTTGTTTTTTTTGCATTACAATTCTTATTACACATATATATACCACAATTTTTCATATCATTGTTTGTATATAAAGTAGGTTGACACCCAGTTTGTGTCTTCACAAATGTACTTTGGATAATGATGGCCATCACATTCCATCATTTTTGCTAATCCCCTGCCTCCTCCCTTTCCTTTCCTCCCCTCTTCCCTATAGTTTACTAGCATTTTTAAAGCATCTACAGTATTTTGTCATTTTAGGATACATTCTGGCTTATAGTCTTACCTCTCCTGTCTATTCCAAGCAGCCCCTCAGATTGGAACTGACAATCAATGACAGTTCATTATATTTATCTTGAAAACTATATGATTTGAGAACATACTGCAGAACTAGTTCCTAAATGAAACTATGGAGGATACAATTTGTTATCCCTAAGTAAGAACTGTATTTTTATCAATTTTATTTTGGATCTTTACAACCTTAAGATATTAAAAGTCATCCATGCTTCAAATTCAGGGAAACACTCATGTAAGGACAAAAGTCAATTTAATTTTACCACAGAGCTAAAAAATGAAATTTGGAAAAACTTTTCTTAATTTAAGAAAATCATCATGCCTACATAAACATTTGACCCAGGAAAACAAGAACCAAATGTCAAGTTGGGTCATAGTTTCTTCAACTTAACATGCTTGTTCCTACTGAACAGGCCAATCCGAAGTAGATGGAACCTTTTCAATTTTTGTTTTAGTTGTGATCCATAGGATTTGATTTTGGGAAATTTGTTACCTAAATACTTGTTTCCTCCCTGAACTCTCTCTTTTTTCCCCCACTATTTTGAGACAGTGTCTCACTAAGTTGCTTAAAACCTCACTAATTTGCTGAGGCTGGTCTCGAACTTGCAATTCTCCTGCCTTAGCCTCCTAAGTTGCTAGTGTTATAGACTTGCCTCACAATGCCTGCAAACTCACCTCTTTTTAAAAAAAAAAATTTATTTTTTAGTTGTAGATGGACATAATACCTTTTATTTATTTTTTTAATGTGGTGCTGAGGATCGAACCCAGTGCTTCATACATGTGAGGTAAACAGTCTATCACCGAGCCACAACCCCAAACCCAACCCACCTCTTTTTAAGGGAAAAGTGGTTCTGCTCTGAGAATTTAGGTGCTTTAGATTTGAAGGGTGAATTTTCTATTTGACTTTTGTCTTTACATGAGTGTTTCCCTGAATTTGAAGCATGGATGACTTTTAATGTCTCAAGGTTGTAAGGATCCAAAATAGAAATATTCTCAAACCTTGTTTAGGTAAATTCATGCATAGAATGTTGTTATTTAGAGACATTAAGGATAATTGAGAAACGTACATYTTTGATTTATTAAGATTAGTGTCATGGATGGTAACGGTCTTTCAATGACCAAAGTCATTGGAACCAGTATTAGAGTTGCTGTTCTGGATCCATGGACCACTAATTTCATCTAAAAGCACATTTTAAAATGTTTTAATGGAAATTAACTTGCAGTCTAGAGAATCGACTATTTCAGTCCTCCAAATCTTTCCACTATTTTGAGGCCTTAATCTGAACCTAGTGGTTCCTATTTAAGTTTCTAATGTCCATTTCTATAGATTTTCAGTTTTCTGTGACTAAGTTAAACTCCTGGCTGTGTTGTTTTTCTTCTGATTAATCATAATATTGATAATAAATCCTCTGTTTCCTAATGAATTAAATTACTTAAATCCATGTGATATCTACTATGTAGTGGATGAAATATGATATATCTCTGACACTTTAAAAGTATTTTCATCATACTTGCCTAAAGTATTACATTACTTTCTATATATTTACTATTTCTTGGGCACAGAGAGCTATTTGAGACACATTTAGAAGTAAATTACCGATTAATTTCTTTTTCATGTTCTCTGGCAGAGTGGCAGAATAAAATTTTTAAAAAGAGCATTAATTTTAAGGTCAGAATGGCCTGGGTTTAGATCCTCACTTTTTCCACTTATTGATGGTGTGAATTTGGATAAATTACTAAGCCCCTCTTGGCTTTGTTTGTAAATGAGGGTGATAAATCTAACTGTGCAGGGTTAAATGAGAGAATGTATATGGACTAGAGGGAGATTAATGGATTTCTAATCAATATTCATCTAATTCTCCCCTTCTCCCCTTTCTCTTTCCTTTCCTTTCTCCTGCCCCCTCCCCTTGAACCTTGGCGTAAGGCTGTGTATACTCAGTAACAAATGATGTGTGTCTTAAACAGATTTTAGGAACTTACATGGTCTGGGTTGAAAAGAAAACCCATTCACTAGACTTGACAGCCAAAGACCTGTTCTACATTAAGACTTATATATAACCTGTTCCATATTAAGCTTTGAAAAGACTGCATTAAATTTTGCATTACTACATATTGTTTAAGATTTGTGTTTTGATTTAATACCCTCAGCTTTCAGTAAAAGAAAGGAAAGTCTGACCAAAAAACAAAGCAAAACAAAATGAGCTTTTTATCTGTTACAGGAGCAGACTAGATGAGTACTCTGGCCCCAGAYTGCTGAATGTTTTATTGAGTCACTGTTTCACGCCCACCTTTTCCTGTCTTGTAACAGTTTGCAGTTTTGACTATCTGACATGACTAACCGTTGCAAATCTAACTGATTACAACTGTCAGTGAGTCTGTGTAACAGAGTCTGGTGTCTTCTGGAGAAAGCAGACATCCAAATCTGCTGCCAACCCACCCCCAACCCTGGTTCATTGCTTTTAGCTCATTAATTTGAAGCATCAGATATAGTATTTCAATGAAGCACAGCCTCTGCTAAAAGTAAAAATTCATGTTTATGTTGAGAGATGTCCTATACATTTAGCAGAAAATAAGTAACTATCAAGGCATTATTTCAAGATTTAACAGCAGGGATGTATGTTAGGGGAAGGTTGGGCAGGGAGGAGAAAAACTTTGTTCCAGTAATGATGAAATCATCATACCACAGGCACATTAAGGCCAGGATAGGAGACACTGGCTCCTGTTAAAATGATTCCCATAAGAACTTCCCTCTTTCATCTTCTTATTGTAGTTCATTTAAGCAAATGAAATGCTAAAGCCATGTGAAGTAAATAACATAATCAACAATGATTTACTATTGTTCTCTCATGGGGTCACGACCTAATCCTAAATAAGGGCTTCTAAAATTGTGTTTGGATGTGTTCCTGATGTTGGAGAAAAATTAAAAGGAAGAGAACTCTTCCCAAGTGGACTAGGGTTTTTGTTTTCATTTACAAATATTGCTACTGAGGAGCTATTGAGGAGGAATCAGAACCTTCTTATATAGTATTGTAGTGAAAAAGATGATCTTAATACTGAATGAATTTAGAATCATCCTAAAAGTGGCTGTCAGGGGGTTTCCAGTTTAGAGTAAGGACTTTTGACTCTCTGTTTCATTGTAAAAGAGATTTGAATGAAATTTAGACAGTTGCTGTATAATCATCAATACTGCCTTTTATATTTACTCTGTATTTCCCCCCTTAATCTGCAGGCAAGAGTTTCACCTTGACCATAACAGTCTTCACAAATCCTCCCCAAGTAGCTACCTATCACAGAGCTATTAAAGTTACAGTGGATGGACCCCGGGAACCCAGAAGTAAGTACTTGCCTTTCTATTGAAAATAGTGATAGTTTTTAGAGAGCCTATGAGGAATTTGTTCTAAATGAGTTAATGTTACTGTAATGTACATACTATCTGTAAGTACTGTCTTTGCAAAGTTAGTTATCTGCATGTATTTTTAGTGAGGGACAATTAGTAGACCTTAGCAGTTAATAGAAAATAAAATTATAGTTTTAACCTTAGCCACAAAATTGCAAAGGCCTCTATAACTTTGGTAAATGAATAAATAATTATTGTCATCACAATTATTTGCTAAGAAATTGTGCTCATCTGCTCTACACAATGGACAGGGCAGAACAGAACCAGGAGAAGCAAAGAATAAATTAAAAATTCTTAAGCTTAGTCAAAAAGCATTTGGGTATGTTTCCCATGGCCTAAGAATGTGTTTTAGCTTTTTAACTCGCCCACTCAATTCCCTTTGTAAAGAGCACACTGCTTAATTACAAAGAATTTATTTGCAAATGATAACTTGCTTGATTGTTACAACACTGTTGTTTGGTCCTGTTCCAATAATTGTTAAGATAGTTTCTTTAACAGAGTCAAACCAGGTTTAAATCTACCTTGGTTTATTTAATTCTGTCTGGGTATCCAGAAGGTTTAAGGTAATGCACATAACCTATTTGGGTCAATATGTACTTTCCTCCTAAATCTAAATGGAAATGGGTTTACTTCCCTCCATCCCAATACCCAAATTGATTTGAACAAACCCATCATGGTAATATTTAAGTATATTTAGAAATTAAAGGTTATTTGACATTAAAAAACATTAACACTATGTGCCAATGAAAGTATCATACAAAACTCTGCCTTTATTGAGGGACTTCACTRAGGTCCTAGCCATTGCATTCATTTGGTTTGTGGTGGAGGTATAACTGGAAGATTATTTGTTCTATGATAGTACAGCTGCCTATACTGTGAGGGTAGCATATCTTTTCTTCTAGGTAGAAAAGAGGTGGTAAGGTTTTGCCTCTCCCCATATAGCACATCTTTTAGCAATGGAAATATACAGTAGATTCTGTCCCTTTTGTGCTCTCTTAAAGGCCGACTGCTTGTCTGAACTAGGGGAGGGTTCCTGCCTCAAAAAGCTGTGAGGTTTTGTGTTCTCCTTCTTTCATGTGTATGGTCTTCTTCTAAATTTGTATTAGGTCAGGGCTATTCTGTCTATTCAGTTTGGGAATATCCTATTAGGTGGTTTGGTGCACAGTACGTGTGAGCACCAAGTCTCCAGTTCTACATATCATTGGTTATGTAGTGCAGGTGATCAGAAGAGGGCAGGGGCTATGCCTGGTTTGGGGCTTCACTTGACTTTTTTTTTTTTTTTTTTTGCCACAAATCATGAATGATGCCTTATGAGGGAAGACATCTTCTAACCTTCTACCTAAGTAGTTCCTCCAGTTCCTTGAAAGGCAACAGTCACAATTCTAGTAATGCACAAAGCAGGATAACATTAACACTAACATTTAGCACCGTTAATATTTGTGGGTTTTTTGGTACCAGGGATTGAACTCAGGGACATTCGACCCCTGAGCCACTCCCCAGCCCTATTTTGTATTTTATTTAGAGACAGGTTCTCACTGAGTTGCTAAGTGTCTTGCTGTCACTGAGGCTGGCTTTGAACTTGTGATCCTCCTGCCTCAGGCTCCCAAGCCGCTGGGATTACAGGCATGTGCCATTGTACCTAGCTAATATTTGTCTTTAAAAAATGTTTCCTGTTTATATCAGCTGTTTTCTTCAGTACTTAGAGAAGTCATTATTGTGTGTGTGTGTGTGTGTGTGTGTGTGTGTGTGTGTGAGAGAGAGAGAGAGAGAGAGAGGGGGAGGGAGGGAGGGAGAGGGAGAAGGGGAGAGGGAGAAAGAGTGTATGTGTGTGTGTGTGTGTGTGTGTGTGTGTGTACACTTAGGAGTTGGTGCTCAAAAGTTGATGGTTAGAAAAGGAAACATGGAAGAATTGATGCTTCCTCATTTTAAAAGATATGACAAAAGGTGAGGAGGCACGGTAGTTTTGGGAAAGCTACTTCTGATTCAAGTGTGGGTAACATTACTTAATTTCAGAGAGGTTTATGGCAGAATTAGTTGATAGAACCACTGCTCTATAAAGGCAGAGACATCTTCTAAAGTGATGAGGTTTTGGGATGGAGGGGCCAGATGCTATATGTATGACCTGAGTTCAGACTTTGGGTAGTGCTGAGGGTAGGTGGGAAAGGAGATACAGATCTACAAGTAGCAGACCACCTGTCTCAGTTCAGCCTGAGTAACGTTTCTTGTAAACCGAAAATATCTGTGAAAATGTGATGTCATTTCCTTGACGTCTTGTGGTGACTTGCCTGGATATAAGGATAGAACTGGCATCAGTAACAGCTTAATCCTACAGCCTGGAATCTGTAATGGAATCTTTCCTTCCATCTTGTTTTTGGTTATCTGTCACAAGCACKCAACCCTGCCATTTTAGTGCAGAAGGACCCAAAGCCAGTGTATAAACACATGGGTATGGCTGTATTCCAATAAAATTTTATTTACAAAAACTGGTAGTAGGCCAGATGTGGCCCAGAAATTGTCATTTACCAACCCTTACTTCAGATTTCAAGGTGGTTTATTTTATCAACCTTTAATAGAGAAACATTTTAGTAAAAGGCTTTCCTAGAGGGGGAAAAAAGAGATATTAATGCAATTGTTTCATTTTCTCTTCCCAAATTATAATTTGTTAAGTAGTGGTTATTGTCACAGAAGGTAGTATATTTCTGTTCATTACTGTAGTAGTTTGAAGGAGTTGAGGGTTTTGTACTATTGGTTACTGTTTAGAGATGGAATTTTTCTAGATTTTCTCACTATATGAGTATATATTGAAAAGGCTGCTTTGGGTAGCTAAGTTGTTTGAACAAGGACAAGACATGGATTAACTGAGTCTTTGGTTCAGACTACTTGGTTTGCAATCTTAATTTCACCATTCTTTTTTTTTTTTTTAGCTGCCTGAAAGCAGCCAAGTTCCCTAGATTCTCTTTGCCTTGGATTTCTCCAGGCAAAAATCTGCCTTGAAAGTGAGAATAATTAAGGCTTAGGTAGGAGGATTGCAAGTTTAAGATAACTTAGTAAGGCATGGGCTGGGGTTGTGGCTCAGCGGTAGAGTGCTCGCCTCTCATGTGTAAGACCTGGGTTCGATCCTTAGCACCACATAAAAATAAATAAACAAAATAAAGATTTTTGTGTCCATGTATAATTAAAAAAAAATTAAAAAAAACTTAGTAAGGCAGTGTCTCAAAATAAAATAAAAAGAACTGAGGAAGTAGCTTAGTGGTAGAACATTTGCCTAGCATGTTTGATGCTCTGGATTGGATTCCCAGCACCAGGGCAAAAAAGTGAGAATAATAAAAATAGTATCTTCCTCATTAGTATATGATGTAATGCATATGAAATTGTTAGTATGGTGTTATGTAGTAAATGGTCATTAAATGTTAACTGTTATTACATTACTTTTCTTGAGTGTCAGAAGTTTGCGATAGAACTTTGCTTACAGTACATGCCAGGAAATGGATACCATCTAAATTCTGATATTTAGTCTTATTTCTTTTCCTAAAGATGGCTTTACTAATTTTTACTCAATAGTAAATGATACTAAAAGTGTTATAAATCTTCCCTGGTGCAGATATTCATGATGTACAGGGATAGCTGTGCAGAACTGGTGATAAATTCCTATTTGTAGCAAAGTCCAAGGCAGGGTGATAGGACATTGGTACCCTTTCTGAGGCCTTGCTTATCAACACATCTGCCAAGACTTGCTTTTCACTCAAAAATCCAAAAGGTTTCATCCTTCTATGTTTTCTGTCTCTGGCAGCTGAACCAGTGCTGTCACATCACAAACAACTTCTTTTCTTAATATACACATCTGGCGTTGGCACTTGGACTAACTTCATAAGAGCACATGATCATCACTCATTACAAGATTAAAAAGTACCCCATGGCATCATTGATGTTTTCTAACTTTGATCTTTTGCAGTTGTGATTCATCTCAGTTATAAAACTTCCCTTTAAAGGAACATAGCCGATGACTTATTAGAACCCTCATCTTAAGTAGCATAAACATGAAAACGGTGCACATCTTTACAAAATACCATTTATTTTTTTGGCAGCTTATCATTTTAAGACATGACATCGTATTTAAGATCCAAAATTTGTAAGTCTTGTGTTCAGGCAAGGTGTTTTGACCTTCTGTTGTCAAGTTAGCTCTGAAAAAACATTGCTGTATGTTCACCAGTGGGAGAAGTCAGTGTAGCAGCAGCAGCAACAGTAATGCATTTGGATACCTATCTCTTTTAGACATCAGTTTCTATGAGGATCCTCTGTTCCATTTATGCACTTGATTCCAACTCCAGTCTAATTTAAATAATTTCTGTAGAAAGATGAAAACTTGGTTAGCCATGTCATATTATATAGTAATGGTTCCAAGTTAGCAAGAGGACTGATGGTATTGTTTGCTATGCATAAGATGGAAAATAATAATTTTATATGTCTTTCTGATTCTCTTGATGCATTTTCAGTTATCTATTGCTATATAATAAACTGCCCCAAAATATAATGGCTTAAAATAATAACTTTATTATTTTTTTATGATTCCATGGGTTGACTGGGGTTCAGCTGGATGTTGTTTTCCTGCTGGTTTTGCTTGAGGGCACAGTGGCTACAGTCAGATGGTATTTAGTGCTGGATCTTCCAAGATGGCTTCATTCATATGCCTGTGCCTTTATAGGATGGCTAGAAGGTTGGGATGAGCTGGAAAGAAGGAACTGGGCTCCCCTTTCTCTCCATGTAGTACTAGGACCTCTCCCATTCTATGTGGCCTCTCCATGTGGGCTTTCCAGGAGGTCTCTCTAGCAGAGTCTTGACTCTTTTCATGGCAGCTCATTGATCTCTTAGCTGCCAAAGTGGGAGCTGTCAGGTCTTTTAAAGGTTTAGGCTCAGAACTAGCATGGAGTTGCTTCCTC